GTTAGATCCCGGGCGCGAGCTCAGACCCGGCCCCGGGCCGCCGGCGGGGTAAGTGCTGGGCTCTCGGAGGGCCCTGCTCCCGCGAGCTGTCGCCTGCTTCACGGGCAGTGACCACCGAAAGGGGCTGAATTTCAGCGTTGCGAGTCTCTTTGAGAAAGACCCAAATTCGCAAGGAATTGTTCAGATCCTTCGTGGCTAACCGAGAACAAGCACTGACGGGGCTTACCCAGTTGATTTAAGGACTTAGCAGAAACAAAACGATAAGCAGAGATGAAAAGTAACTAAAATAACTTCAAAGTTCTCTGGTTGAAATGGTGATGGGGGCCTAGGTGGCAGCGCTCCTCCGTGACACCTTGGACGTTCCGACCCGAGGACCGGGGCCACCCTCGCCTCAGGAGTCTTCGCGAAGCCCAGCCGGGCCCAAGAGTGGAGCCGTCCCGCCGTGGGCGGTCACACCCGAGCCAAGGCGACTTCTCCGACTGTTTTCAATAAATAGGTATCTCATTTAGCATAGAAAAAAGTTACTGATTTTTTTTTTTAAACCGGGGATTGAACTCATGATCTTGCCCTTGAGAGACAGGCACTGAGCTAAATCCCTGCCCTGAAAAAAAAAACTACTCTTTATTTTGAGGAAATTTTTCATAGAGCTTTAACACGATGAATATAATGAAAATGCTACAAATGAAACACTATGTGCTTATCGTTTATAATGAAAGGGAGATGCACTTCTTTATCTCTTACCATTTCATTTGTTGTAACCTTGGTAGTTTGTTGGTCTCTCTTCCACCCTCTCTCTCTGTCTCCCCCCCCCCAACTCACTATGTGACCCAGGCCCGCTTCAAACTCATGGCGATCCTCCTGCCTCCTCAATACTGGGATTGTAGGCACGGACAAACATACCCAACGCAGCCTAAACAGGTAGAATTGTTATTTCGTGAAAGGGTTGGAAACAAAACAGACAAGCCCAGGTAAACTCTGAAGGAAATAGCCAGCGGTGTGGTATGCAGGCAGAAACTCTGGCCTGGGGTTGGGAAACTCGGTGTTGTTCCTGGTACTGCCTTGTGTTTTAACCAGTCCAGACTTTTAAGGTTCATCTGTACAAGCTCATGCTATGTTATCTTTAAGATCCTTTTAGGCTTTAAAATTTAGTCTCTGACTTATTTATTTCACTTAGGAGTACATCCTTAATATGTATCCATTTTCCTATGAATGAATCTAATTTCTCATCCTTTATGGCTGAGTAATATTCCATTTTATAGAAAAACCACATCTTCTTTATGCAGTTTCCAACGGATGGGCAAATGGGCTGTTTCCAAGTTTTAACTATTACAAACTGTGCTGCTATAAACATAGGCGCCCATATATCACTGTGATATGATTCTTTTGGAAAGATACCCATCAGAGGGATGGCTGAGTCAAATGGAACCTCTAGTCCCAGCTCTTTGAGGTGTCTCCATATTGCTTTCCACAGGGTTGCACCAGTCTGCACTCCCACCAACAATGGAGAAGGGTTCCTTTCTCCCCACAACCCCTCCAACATTTGTTATTGGTTGATTTCTTGATAGCAGCCATCCTTTGTTGGGTGAAGTGGAATCTGAGTTTTGTTTTCATCTGCACCTCTCGAATGACCAGTGATTGGAGCATTTTTTCATATATTGCTGCTTTTACTTCTTTGTCTGAGAAATGTCTGTTCATTTCAGATGCCCATTTTTGAATCAGGTCTTTATATTTGGGGGGGGTTGATTGTTTTAATACCAAATAGTTTCTCTGGTGTGAAAAACTATAATAATAATAAGATCCTAATGAGATAACTGACAATGTGAAATAGGATGAAAAGGGCTAAAGGTGTAGGGAAAGTGGGAAGGGTATTGGAAAGGTAATAAGTTAAAAGAAAAAATAGGAGAAAATGAAAAAATGGAAATAAAGTATTTGTAAATGGGGAGGGGAGGAGGGGTGAAGGGAGGGCAGGGACAAGGGGAAAAAATGAGAACCAAGACCTGGGACCTGGCA